CAGTAGTAAATTCGAAATAGAGGAGGATGGACTTTCACAGATAGGGTGTGAATACCACGTCACCCACATTGGGGCTGAGGTGAGAAAATTTATGATTATGGCACCTCTGATGGCCGGCAATGGTACCGTCTCATTTAAATTTAAAATTTGAATTTAAATATAATTTTATTCTTTTCTCCATTTCATTTATTCTCTTGGAGGGCCGGGGGACATGCCCTAAGAGCATGCATTCTACTGGTATACATGCAGATGACCAATTTCATAAATTTCTTAGCTTCCGACGTGTGGGGTGGGGGAGGGGCGATGTCCCCAACGAGAGAAAATTGGGCGTTGTCGGGCGTCGCTCAAAATGTTTCGAATGTTTCAGGGGGAAAAACGGTCTCAAAGGCTTATTTACTGGAATTTATAGATATATAGTCTACTAATAAATGGAAAATGCATATATATTTTTTGTCCTCGACGAATTGAGGTTTTTCTCCCCAAGGGGGAGCTCTTCCCGACGGAGGCCCTGGCCCCTTAGACCCCCCTGGTACCACCCCTGTTTTATTTATTATTTATTTAGATTTATTTCTCAAGTATTTGGTAACCTACTAGGCATTTACTACGATAACACGTCAGGTAGAGCAACATAATCATGCACCATCGGAAAAGCATTGCAGACCCACTGCTATTTTGGGATAGAGTTCAACACTAGACACTAAACGCAAGTTCAGTCTTCCCCCATCTGGGGGTCGTGGGTTCCATTCGCACCCGAATTTGCAAGGTGATTTCGCAAGTAGCTGGAAACATACCAAGTCATGTAGGGCAAAACTTCATTCCTTTTAGTAATAAATCTTCTGACGAAAACACCAAAGGAACAGCAGTGCAGTACCCATTGCTACTAGATTCGACATGCCGGTCTAGTGGTTGAAATCTGTGTTTGTTTTTATTTCAAATCCGACACAGGAAAACAAAAAGCATATAATAGGACGGAAAGAAAAAAAAAGTTTTCACTAGGGTTCCAACCCAATAAATTAGTGATAAACGACTGTAAAAGGAAGTAGTCATCCAGCCAAGGAAGAACTGCCATTTTTTCTGTCAAAGTGTCATCATCCTAACTCCACACTATTTGAAATAAACTTGGGTGGGGTGGGGCACCCAAATTTTTTCCTGAAATCCACGATGGCCGCCAAAATCCAAAATGGCCGCCATCTTTTTTTAGTGGAGTTATCACCTCAGACTTAAACCTTTCAAGATCAATTGAGGGCCATCAATAATTTGGCCTCAAATCCAAAAATGGCCACCAAAAAATTACAGTTATTAGAGAAATGTATAATATTTGGTTATGTCAATATTTTCAGTGGATTTGTCACCTGGGATGTAAACCATTTAAGATCAATCGAGGGCCACCCAGAATTTGGTAGCCAAAATTCAAAATGGCCGCCAAAATTACAATTATTAGAGAAATGCAGCTTATTATTTGGTTTCGATTGCCAATGCTTTTTTTCAGTGGATTGGTCATTTGGGACATAAACCTTTCAAAATCAATTGAGTAACACCCAGAATTTGGCCTCAAATAAAAAATGGCCACTAAAATGGCCGTCAGAATTAACTTAATTAGGTAAATTCTGCTATTCTTTTTTCCTGTTAAAGTTTTACAGTGAAGTTGTTAATCCTAAATTAACTTTTAAATTAACTTTAAGGCCACATAAAAGTTGACTTCATATCCAAGATGGCCGCCAAAATGCAAAAATGGCCACCAGATTACATTAATAAGATGTGTATTGCCCAAATTTTCTTGTATAAGGCTTTTTTCAGGGATCTGTCAAAGATTAGAAGCTGTCTCTTATACACATCTAGATGAGCGCCGCTCTAGAATAATTAGCGCCACGGCGATTAATTGAGAGTATCCATGATGTGTGTGTAATAAAACAGGGTTTTAAAGACCAAGTGTCTGCAAATTTTCAACGAGTTAATTTCCATATCCTACCGTTGTTGGGTCCTTTACTATACACAAAACATATATTTGGTACTGCGATACAGTGTATCAGCCTATAAACAGGTAAAAAGAGACAAATTAAGTTGAATTTATTAATTTTAGCGGCCCGCTATAAATTCCATCATACATCACTCGCGGATTGATAATTTCTCGTGATTTCTGGTTATGCGCCTCTATCTGTATGAGGAAATCCGTTTGTAAACACATGGGATTTTGGGTCGTTTCGGCCCTGAGTCTATTCGGCCTGGGTCGATTCGGCCGGGTCGTTTCGGCCCTTTTTTGGACGAAACCACCTGGACAAGAAGGCCGAAACGACCCGGGTCAGAAGTAGACGCGCCCTATTGCTTGTAAGAGCATTAGATTGCAATTAACAGCCGCAGTATGGAGCGCAAAGTACGCACTGTGGTTTATTTGGGTTCTGTATTTATAAAGAGATTTTTTTGTTGTTGTTTTAGTATGATTATTTTGTCTTTTTTTACGATCCTTGACTATACATAATACTTTTTCTTTTTTGTATTTTTCAGTAGGATTATTATTTAAGTTTTACAATTGTTTATTGTTTCAGAAATTTTAATTAGTTTGAGTATAATTTTACAGTATGTAATTATTTTTTTCTTGCAGTTTCCAGTAGTGAAAAGTCAAGTGTACAAGACAATACAATTATATTTTCAATTTCTAAATGATTCTTAATAAAGGCTTTTTCTGTTTTGTTGCGGTATTTTAATTGTTAAATCAAATACCTATGTGAATTTCATATGTTTAATTTCATTTATCAACAAAAAATGAGACATTCTCATTCTCAAAAACTTGCAAACCTTCAAACAATATTTCATCATTATCATCATTTTAGAATTTACAAAGACAACAGTACATCATCCTAATCCAAATCGCAAATATGGATCCATCGGGGCCAGATCCAGAGATGTCAAAAGGGGAGGGGGAGGGGGAAGATCGAGGCTACACAACGCCGGGGGCGTCCTCAGTCCCATCACCCTTTTAGGAAGTTAAAAAAAAGGGGAAAAAATTGCCTCAGAGGTTATTAATATCGGACCCATAGACGAGAGGCGTGTGTTTGCACTTAAAAACAGCCAGTCTAATTTTATTATCTGACTTCACTCTTTGCAGTAGTGCGCCCACACATTCCTGAAAGGCGGCGTACAAAGGATGTCTACTTCACCCTAAAGAGTACCGTGGGAACCTGTTTGTGGGCGTTTCTTTCCGATTTTTATAGTTAGTTTCCATGCAACAATAGGCATTGTGAGTGAAATTTCCGGCTTACTTAATACCAAAAGGAGCCTGAAACAGCCATTAACATTGTAGTCCTATAAATTTTATTTAAACTATATATTTTTTCCATTTATTTGTGTATTTTATAAACATGCCTAATCAAAATATGTATCGACAATGGAAATAAAACAAAGAAGAAGATACAAACCATGTGTCTGCTTCACCTTAACATAATTGTTGAAAACGTTTCTTTCCTCAAATTATACTGTAGTTAATCATTTCTTTAGTTAATTTTTCTATGCAATGGGTGATTTTGTCGGCCTTATGAATACAATAATATATTTACTTTATTTTCATTATCACATCATTCAGTATATTTTAATTTATTTTAATATTTTTTACTTTTTTTAATAAAAAAGGGGAATCAGAGGATTTTGGCATTTCTATATTGTTTAATTAAATTGTTTTGTAACCATTATTATACTGTACAGCAATTAACAATCATCACCACCACACTGCTATAGGCTACAGGCAAAACTAAAAATCAACATGAAATTCAAGTGTCAATCAACTTTTTATTTAATAATTATCTGTCTGTATCATTCAAAGTTTACAAAAATGTAAATAAACAAATACTGTATAAGAATTGTTCTAGTAAATTGAGTTATTGTAGTAACGTCAGCCTATAGGCGCGGCCTACCTAACAATATGCACAATAATAATAACAATAATAATATTTTAATAACAATAATTTAACAATAAAAAGTAATAATAATGAATTTATATAT